TCCTGCTTTGCTTGGGTTTTCTAATATGATCCTGACTTTCAATGTTTTAAGTCTCTGTCCCCAGGTATGGCGTGTGGATTTTTGGGTCAGAAAAATCCGTGTGGCATTTCCTGGCTCTGCTCCCACCTGCTGAATCAGGGCTTGTCCTGGTCTCTTGGACTAGGACGTAGGGAGGGCGAATCACGTCTGTGCTGGCCCTATTTCTTTTCCCCTCACATCTGGCAGGCTGTTGTCCCTGTGGCTTACGTCAGTCATTGGTTTCCAGAGTGAGTTTACTTTTGTTTTCTTTTGGTTTCCTGTAGTTTGTTCAATGAGAAAGAATTTGTGGCAACTTTGGGTTTTCCTTACAGTGTGAGCTTCAAGTGTTTAATGGGCTTTTTTTTTTCAGTGCACCACGTAAAACTGTGGCTCTCCCCACTGTTTTCCGAGGAGGCGTGAATACAAACGGAGAAGAAATGTTATGCTTCACATTTGTGTTGGCTTTTATATTCCCGCATCTGAAAGAGAACTTGTTTCGAATGCGGGATAACATGCACAGCATGGTGATTTTGCTCTTATCTAGTTTTTGTACGTGATTAGAATATCTTTCCAAAATTCTGGAATGGATTTTGAGCAGCGTACTTTGCATTCCCTCTGGTATTGTTTTTTGAGCCTCACAGCAAAGAGCATGGGTGAGCTGACAGAGCTAGCAGGAGCCGAGCGTAAGTATGGTGAAGGCTGGAGATCGTATCTGTTCTTCCTCAGCCTCCCAGTGACTAATGCCCCTACGTAATTGTATCTAGTCAAACTGCATGGATTTTCAAACGATTTCTTGAGTTTCCCTAGTTCCCTACAAACCTGTTACGACGGCGTAAACAAGTACAACACAACCGTTTCTACCAAGTGCTGTCAAGGAGGCAGAGGTACCAGAGCCCTCACGCATGGCTGGTGGTGCAACCACTTTGGAAGATAGTTTGACAGTTCCTTAGAGCTCAAACACAGTCTTCTCACACCATCCTGCCATTCCACTCCTGGATGTTTACTCAAGGGAAATGAAAGCATACACAAAAATCTGCATGCAGATATTTACAGTGGCTTTATTAACAGTTGCCCCAAACTGGACACAACCCACATATGGTTGTGTGGGAAACGGATAAACACACTGTGGTCTGTGCATGTGGTGGAGTCCGTCCCAGCAGCAAAAGGGCATGGAGCCTGCAGCACAAGGAGTGAGGCTCATGTGCATCAGAAGGGATGGAAGGACCTGGACGCAAAGGCTGCATATGCTGTTGGATTCTGTGTCTGTGACACTCTGGAAACCAGGCCAGTGGATGCCTGGGTCTGCGGGTGGGGATGGAGCGTGGGGCTAGGAAGAGGGAGGAGAAGACGTTGGGGGGTGTTGGGAGAATTCCGAATGTCCGTTGTGGTGGTGGTTATGCGATCTTCCATGCTGGTGAGAAGTCATCGATCTGTACAAGAAGAAGGCAAGAAGTCTTACTGTTTTGCTCTGTTAGGAAAGATATACATACACTGATGAAAAACCGGGAAAAGTACATGATTATTCGAGAAGGGAAAATTTATAATTAGTTGTTTTGATCATCCTAAGACAAAAAAAGTGTATTTTTGTCCCTAGAAGTCAGAAATCTCAAGTTCAAGGATCAATCCCACCATCAACTGGTTGGCCATATCCTTAACAATGCCTAAGTCCACCCAGTTACTATTTGCTCATCTGTGAAACAAAATTGAACCTGTCCGCTTCCTTCCACTGGCAGGTTCTGATGATCCTGCAGCTGTGAAGGTTTCTTTTAGATCTACTCTGAAGAAGTGGTGTCCGTTAACTGATTAATTTATTTCTTCCTCATATGAGTGATGCCTGGTTATGGCAACACAATAAAATTCAAATAGTACAGAAAGATAGAAAAGAAAAAGGAAAAGCTCTCTCATCCTCAAAAAAAAAAAAAAAAAAAATACAATGCCTGGTTCCTGGTTCAGCCGTTCCTCTTGGGCGTGATTTTCCATGTCTGTGTCCTGAGCGTCTGAAATGCTTGCTGCTCCCTGGGACTGGCAGCGCTTGGCACTCAGGTCTGCTCTCCTGCCCTCACTATGGTAGGAGTAGGTACCTCTCTTTCTTCTCACAGGGCATCCTGCACACAATTCTATAACAATGGTAGTAGCAGGACTTAACCTCTGAGTCCAGCTTCTCTGAATCAGGTTCTGCCCACTTAGCCATTTGTTCAATCCCTACGACAACCTTCTGCCCTCAGTGTCCCATTGGCACAGAGACAGAACTAGCACCCCTCCTCTGGATGTGGAGTCTTGTCCCTCTCCCTGCAGGGCCCCACACGGGCCTGGGGAGCTGAGCACCTGTCCTGCACCGTGCTCTATGAGACACAGCCCACTTTCGCACCGTGGTCCTGCAGCCATCACAGTGCTGGGAAACACCGTCTGGGTGCTTCCCTGTCCTCCAGCTCCTTGGGGGTCTAACACGGTGCTTTTCAGGCTTGCGTTCTTGCCTGGTACACACCAGGTGCTCCATAAATGTTTGTAGAACAAGTAAGTAAGTTAGTCAGGGAGTGGAGTTTGTGTCTGTCCAAAGGAATTGAAATCAGGATCTCGGAGAGATGCCCACACTCCCACGCCCATTGGAGTAGTACTCCCAATAGTTAGATAGGGAAACAAGCGGAGTGTCCATAAAGGGAGGAATGGATGAAGACGATGCAGCATACATATCTACATCACATGCCATGGCTACTATTCAGCCCTAAGAGAAAAGGAAATCCTGGCATTTGCAACAGCCTGGGTGGACCTTGAGAGTATTATGCAAGGTGACATAGTGAGACAGAGAAAGACAAATGCTATATGACACCACTCATGTGGAATCAGAATTAGTCAAAACCATAGAAACAGAGAGTGGAATGGCAGTGGCCAGGGGCTGCGGAGGGGAGGACTGGGGAAGTATCAGTCAGGGGCACCAAGTTTCTGTGATGCAGGATGACCAAGTCCTGGAGATCTGCTGTGGGGCACAGAGCCCATAACTGACCATTCTGTGTTGTGCACTAAATATTTACTAAAGGGTAGATTTTGTATTAAGTGTTCTTACCATACAAACAAAAGAATAATGATAAAATAACAACAACAGTAATAAAGGGGTGGGAGGAAACTTTGGGGAGAGATAAATGTGGTCTGGTGGAGGTGATGTTTTCACAAGCATATTCTCACTTCAATAAAGTGGTTGCAGGCAGTGACAGGTGATGCGGAGAGCCTGCTGCCTGCGGACTGCCTCCGGGTGATGGCTTGATGGCTGGTCGTGCTCTTGATCCTCTACCTGCCAGCCCTGGTGGGATCCTCCATCCCACTGTGCTCTCTGCCATCACAACCCTCCCATGGCTGCTGTGAGACCCAGAGGGAACATCCCCACCCCAATGGCCACTGAGGACAGTGCAGACATCTCTGGCTACAACCAGAGATAAGAACACTATTCATTTGGTTTGGAAAATCCAGTGATATGAGTAACTGTTAGTCTCTGACTTTGCCTGTGATGCAAGCTCGTTTACTCCATGCTGAGCCCACATCCTTCCTGCCCCTGCTGGGCTGTGACCACTATAAATGCATCAAGTTTCCTCTCGGGCTGTTTCTGAGGCTGGCGTCTGGGTGAGTCCAGCTCTGTGGAGCTGCGTGGCTGAAAGGGTCTGGGGAGAAGTGAGGAGGGGATGTTGAGGGCCAGAGTTGTCTTGGTTAAGGCACTAGGGATTTCTTCTGCCAGCTTCCAAGTCTGCCCTTTAACAACAATTCTGGAAGTCCTTATATGTTTCTCATTATTGGGCTCTGTGCATGTATGCAAGTGTGTGAGTGCAGGGACAGGAACAGCAACCATAACTTACACCCACAACTGCAGCGGATTTGCCAAGCATCCCCCCCAGGGAGTGGATGGAGGTGATGTGTATGAGGAAAGAATTGCCCTGGACACCAAGGGACACAGGAGGTAAAGGTCCGGATAGAGTGCCCTAGGCTTAGGGACAGAGGAGAGGTAGAGTCCTGGTGTGGATGGAAGGACTGATGGAGGGGGACCTGGGAAGGTCTGTAAAACTGATGGATCTATCTGGACATGGCCCACCTCCCTGTCAAGTGCATGAGGAATGAATTTGGTGGGTGCGTGGAGCCAGGAGTGAGTCAAGATGAAGGTACAAGGAGAGGCGAGCAGGCTTCAGTCGTGCACACTCAGCGGCAGTCACTCTATATGCCAACGTGCACTGTTCCACAGCTCCACAGGCCCTCTCCCTCCTATTAGCATCATTTATGGCTTTGGGTGGATGTGCTTCCCCAGATTCAGTCATGTGAGGGGATCGATCCCAAACAAAGCCAACATGTTCATCAATCCAAAATCTGGGAGACGTGGAAGAGAGAAAGACACAGCAGCTGACCTCTGCTCTTTGTGGAACCCTAATTCTACATAGGAAAACAGAGGCTTTGCGTAGTAAATGCTGGGAATGTGTTTTTTGTCTTTTAACCACCTATTTTATTGTCTTTGATCTTTTTTGTTGGTGTCCGACTAAGAAACCTAGTTAAGTGGTGGAAGAAAGAGTCACACACCTTTTCATGCTTTGAAAGTAGTATTTAGGGACATGAGTTCAGAAATCAGTAACCCTGATCTATATCCTGGCTTTGAGCCCCCCCCCCTTTTTTTTCTGTGAAACCCTGGGCAAGTCACTTAGTTTCTCCTAAGACTCAGTTCCTCTTCCATAAAATGGGTCTAGGCAAATGTGCATGAGAGACTCTCAGTAACCGTGAGTTCTAATAATGACTATGATTGTGAATGTTGCAAGGGGAGACCTCAAGGAGATGTCATGTGTTTATCGTTCCCTCTATGCACCCTGAGTGTCATCTCATTTGTTTCTATCGATCAATAGATGGATGGAAGTGCAGTCGGAGACCATCTCCTTCTCCGCACGCATCTGTCTTCTCCTTTCTCCGTCTAGCCGTGTGTTACTCTGTTAACGTCATACTTACTCATTTCCTGGGTCAAAACAGAAACAGGGAACCAGAGCCTTTCAAATGGAAGGAACTGAAAAGCCATATTTTCCATTCTGTCATTTTATAGATAAAGAAACAGAAGCTGAAGAAGAGTTTGTCCTAGGCCATTGCCCAGGAATCAGTGAGAACAAAGTTCTCCCCGTGGTATGTTGAGGTAGCATTGTGAAGTGGGTTGGGCATATAGTACTGTTGACGTGATTGCGTTTGTGGGTTTAACTAGTTTCTCTCCATAGGGACACCGTTCTTCCATGGCTCAGGACACACCCCTGAGTCAAGCCAACAGGAAATCTTTCTGGTGGGTATTTGGGTCACTTTTCAAAACTAAAGATGGTAGCTCATTACAATCTGGTTATATATATATTTTTCCTTTGTATTCTGGGTTTTTCATGGTTTAATTCTCTCTAAAGAGGGCAGACTTTTAAGAAGACTCTCCTTGCCTGTGTGCTGTTTTCACCGTCCAGCTTCCTGGCGTGGACCTATACCCAAGGACCCTGAGAAAAGACACAGATGAGCATGGCAAGTGTCCGTTGCAAGCTGGCCCGTTACCTGGAGGATCTGGAGGATGCAGACTTTAAGAAGTTCAAGATGCACTTACAAGACTATCCTTCTCAGAAGGGGTGCAGCCCACTCCCTCGGAGTCAGACAGAGAAAGCCGACCACATGGATCTGGCCACTCTGATGATTGACTTCAACGGTGAGGAGAAGGCATGGGCCATGGCAGTGTGGATTTTTGCTGCAATCAACAGGAGAGACCTTTATGAGAAAGCTAAGAGGGATGAACCAGAATGGGGTGAGTGGAAGGAAGACAGCATTTTTTACAAAATTGTGATAAAATACATATAACATAAAATTACAATTTAAGCCATTTCTAAGCAGTGTTAGGCACATCCATGTTGTGCAATCAGTCTCCACAACTTTTCTACATCTTGCAAAACTCTGTACCCACCAAACACCAATTCCTTGTTCCCCTTCCCCTCCGCCCCTGGAACCACCACCTTCTGTCTCTACGACTTTGACTACTCTTGGTACTTCTTATAAACTGCATCATAAAGTATTTGTCTGTTTGTGTCTGGCTTACTTTATGTAGTATAAAGTCCTCGAGCCTCTTCCATGTTGTCACATGTGACATGATGTCATTCCTTTTTAAGGTAGAATGATATGTCATGGTATGTGTATACCACATTTTGTTCATCTATTCATCCATCAGTGGATATTCAGATTGCTTCTAGCTTATTGTGAATAATGCTGCTAGGAACATGAGGGTACAAACCTCTTTGAGGCCCTGCTTTCAGTTCTTTTGGGTATATGTTCAGAAGTGGAATTATTGTATTATATAGTAATGCTAGGTTTCATTCTTTGAGGAACCACCATAATGTTTTCCATAGTAGCTGCCCCATTTTGCACTCCCATCAACAGTGTACAAGGGCTCTATTTTTTCATCATCCCCACCAATGTTTATTTTTTTTTGTTTTGATAGTATTCTAATGGGTGTGAGATGATATCTCATTGTGGTTTTGATTTGCCTTTCCCTACTGACTACTGATACTGAATGATTTTTCATGTGCTTGTTCACCATTTGTTTATCTTTGGAGAAATGTCTATTCAACTTTTTCCTCATATTTTAATTGGGTTGTTTGTTTTGTTGTTGTTGACTTGTAAGGGTTCTTTATATGTCCTGGATACTAACACTTTATCAGATATATGATCTGCAAATATTTTCTCCCATTCCATGGATTGCCGTTCCACTCTGTTGATGGTATCCTTTGATTCAATGAAATTAGTATGTTTGTTTTTTAATAATTCCTTCTATCACCTTGGCTCTATCCTCTTTCTTCCTCTCATGATAGCGCTATAAGAAGTTGGAGGAAAGAAGTTTGCTTTTTTCTAGCTTCTTTAAAAATGCAAGTCAGGGCTTGTCTACCCCTAGGAACTGTGGACATGTTGGGGGTGAAGTTTTTTGCTTCCTGGCTTGGTGTTCTGGTCAAGGGAAGAGCACAAGCAAGGGCTCAGAGGAATCTAGAAAATCACAGGATGATGATGTTGAGCTGGTGGAAATGAGGTATAAAAATGAATCAGCAGATCAGGAGAAGCATGGTGAGTGGGGCAGCAATATGGGTGAAATGAGGGAGAGAAACGTGACATGGGGGCATGAGACAGGGGTGCACAGCAGTGGGAGGTTATAAACAAATTACATATAATAACACAATTATAATTGTGTCAGTACTTACGTACTCACTAACCAAATTAAAGTGTAATAATCACAGTTACAGAAGTAGTTTACTAAGCAGTTTTTATGGATTTTGGTCATTCCTCATAAAATCTCCATGAGGCTGGCTTTTTTTTTTTTTTGTAGGCTGTACACCCCAATGTAGGGCTTGAACTTGCAACCTCTAGATCAAGAATTGCATGCTCTGCCGACTGCCCAGCCAGGCACTTTCAGATGAACTTTCAATTTCATTACTAAATGAAATATGCCAGTCACAAAAAGACAAAGGCAGTATGATTCCGTTTGTAAGAGGTACTAGAGTAGATAAATTTATAGAGACAGGAAGTGGTTGCCAAGGGCTTCAGGCCGTGCGGACTGTGGAATTGTTGTTTAACGGCCATGGAGTTTCAGTTTTGCAAATAAAAGATAGTTCTGGAGATTGACCAACAATGTGAAGTGAGCCTGAAAGAGGTTCTGGTTGCCCGTAGCTCTGTTTCAGTCACAGAGCCAAGGCCTGGATTCAGTGCTGGGTGTGTCTTTGGCTGGAGTCTGGCTCTTAACCGCTGTGCTATCTTGGCTTCTGTACCTGGGCTGTGAGGTGGAAGAATTATACCTAGGGTTTGAGGTTTGTTTGTTCTTTGCCGGGGAGGACCAGGTTGTAGGGTGTTAGATAAGAATTAAGTCACGGTTTTGGTTTGAGTCAACGTTTAGATTTTGTTTTGTGATTGGGTTACCAATAGCATTTGCATTCAGAATGAGTAGACACCTACCAGGAATCCTTTATGTTGCTCTTGGGTTCATCTGCTAAATGTTTCCCCTAGTGCTTAGCACTTGCTCTGTTGTACCTAACTGAAGTGCCTCTTCATTGGGATGTGTAATTTAGTGACTCTTTAGATCTGTAATTCTCAACTGTAGATGCATGTTGGAGCTTTCAAAATATAATGGTGCTGGTCCCCACCTCAGATGAATTGAAAAATAATCACTGGGGGTGGAGCTTTTTTAAAGCTTCCTAGGTGAATCTCAAGTCAGCTGGGGATTGTGAACCACTGAATTCGACAAACCAGCTTGGTGATTTCAATCATGAAAACCCAGAATGTGGGTACAATTAATTTCAGGCATTTGGGGGCAGGGGAGGAGAATCCTGCTGGCCCATAGCCATCTGGGGGTATTTAGACATTTAGTGTGGGGATGGCCTCAAAACCAGGGCACCAGGGGGAGTCTGCCAAAGACAAACAAGGATAAGAGAAGCCTTGCCTGTCTCATGTGTTCGCCGATTGATTTCTGGGCCTGGGAGAGATCCTGAGACTGGATACAGTGGGGACACAATGCTAGCTGTGTGAGTGACAGTGACATACAGTACTTTGAAATTAGGAGTGCACACATGCCACAAACTGGATGTTCAACTGTACACCTGTCATCCACAGCTCTGGCATGGGGGCATGTTTGGGAGATGTCTGAGATAGGTGACTTTGAGCTGTGCCAGGTGTTGAGTACTGGGTCTCAATTACATTACCTTAGTCAGGAGTCCTGGTTTTTAACTTTATATTTCCTTTTCCTTCTCCCCCCCACCCTGCCAGATAATGCACATGTGGTATACCGGGAAGAAAGCCTTGAAGAGGAGTGGATGGGTTTATTAGGGTATCTGTCCAGAATCTCTATTTGTAAAAAAAAGAAAGGTAAGCAATGGGGGTAGTGCTTCCTGTTGGGTTTGGAAACCCAGGTTTGGAGCCTGGGAAGCTTGATCATTCTATATGTTCCTCCACCTTGGGGGGCAAAGGCCCACTTCAGGAAATCCACTATGGCTAAAGGAACAGACCAGAGTCCCCATGGCTCCTTGTAGTCACAGAACCAAGGGAAGGTGATTGAGGGTCTCAGGTTCTAAAAGGTATGGGCTACAGACTACCTAAAGGAATACGATTGAATATACAGGATTTTCAGGCAGGTCACAGTGCCTCTGGCACTTTGCTATTTTTCTGTTCAACTGTGTATAGGAAGATTCTGACATTCTAGATTTTCTGGGACTGTCCATATCCACGCAGTGAAGAGAATCTGCACCTCCCTTTGCTTAGCTCTCTGGTCATCACTCCCTGTGGACTATAGACCCTTGTCGATAGCTCGTGTGTGCTTGGACTTCTCCCAAAGTTTACTTTTCTGTCTTTGCTCCAGATTACTGTAAGAAGTACAAAAAACACGTGAGGAGCAGATTCCAGTGTATTAAAGACAGGAATGCCCGTCTGGGTGAGAGCGTGAACCTCAATAAACGCTACACGAGGCTGCGTCTTGTCAAGGAACACCAGAGCCAGCAGGAGAGGGAGCATGAGCTCCTGGCCATTGGCAGGACTTCAGCCAAGACGCTGGACAGCCCCATGAGTTCCCTGAGTATGGAATTGCTGTTTGAGCCTGACGACCAACACTCGGAGCCTGTTCACACAGTGGTATTCCAGGGAGCAGCAGGCATTGGGAAAACCATACTGGCCAGGAAGATCATGTTGGACTGGGCATCAGAGAAGATTTACCGGGACAAGTTTGACTATTTGTTTTATATCCACTGTCGGGAGGTGAGCCTTGGGACACGGAGGAGCCTGGGGGACCTGATCGTCAGCTGCTGCCCTGACCCAAACCCACCCATATACAAGATTGTGAGCAAGCCCTCCAGGATTCTCTTCCTCATGGATGGCTTCGATGAGCTGCAGGGCGCCTTTGATGAGCACACGGAGGCTCTCTGCACAAACTGGCAGAAGGTGGAGCGAGGAGACATTCTCCTGAGCAGCCTCATCAGAAAGAGGCTACTTCCTGAGGCCTCTTTACTCATCACCACAAGACCCGTGGCCCTGGAGAAACTGCAGCATTTGCTGGACCGTCCCCGTCATGTGGAGATCCTGGGTTTCTCAGAGGCCAAAAGAAAGGAATATTTCTTCAAGTATTTCTCTGATGAGCAACAAGCCACAGAGGCCTTCAGGCTGATTCAGGAGAATGAGATCCTTTTTACGATGTGCTTTATCCCCTTGGTCTGCTGGATTGTGTGTACTGGGTTGAAGCAGCAGATGGACAGCGGCAAGAGTCTTGCCCAGACATCTAAGACCACCACTGCAGTGTATGTCTTCTTCCTCTCCAGTTTGTTGCAATCCCGCGGAGAGAACCAGAAGCACCAAGTCTCTGCCAACATCCGGGGTCTCTGCTCATTGGCTGCAGATGGAATCTGGAACCAGAAAATCCTGTTTGAGGAGTGTGACCTTAGGAATCATGGCCTTCAGAGGGCCGATGTGTCTGCTTTCTTGAGGATGAACCTATTCCAAAAGGAAGTGGACTGTGAGAAATTCTACAGCTTCATCCACATGACTTTCCAGGAGTTCTTTGCTGCCATGTACTACCTGCTGGAAGAGGAGGAACAGGGAGGGATGAGGAACCTGCCATGGAGTAGTTCTAAGCTTCCCAACCGAGATGTGACCGTCCTTCTTGAAAACTACGGCAAATTTGAAAAGGGGTATCTGATTTTTGTTGTCCGTTTCCTCTTTGGCCTTGTAAACCAGGAGAGAACCTCCTACTTGGAGAAGAAACTGAGTTGCAAGATCTCGCAGCAAATCAGGCTGGAGCTGCTGAAATGGATTAAAGAGAAAGCCGAGGTCAAAAATCTGCAGATCCAGCCCAGCCAGCTGGAGTTGTTCTACTGTTTGTATGAGATGCAAGAGGAGGACTTTGTGCAAAAGGCCATGGGCCATTTCCCCAAAATTGAGATCAGTCTCTCTACCAGAATGGATCATGTGGTTTCTTCCTTTTGTATTGAGAACTGTCACAGTGTGGAATCACTTTCACTGAGGCTGCTTCACAACTCCCCGAAGGAAGAGGAGGATGAGGATGAGGAAGAGGAAGGGCACTCTGAGGTGGATCACTGTGTCCTCCTAGATCCTCATGCTGCCTATACTCACCAGTAAGACAATTTGGTTTCGGGCAGATAATGGAATGGTAGTGTTGCCCTCCACTTTCTAGCCACCTTTCTCTGGGCACTTGCTTTCTCTGCCTGCTTCTCAACTGTCTTTAAAATGTGGTTGCCACAGCTCCATAATAATGCCACCATCATCCATTTCTACCAGACTCCTTTAGTGGCAGAGATTGACTAATAGAGGAAAGGGAGGTGGACAAATGGATGAGAAAAAAGCCAATGAAGAAAATAAGCAAATGTTTGGTGGATGCCAAGTCAGTGCAAGGTATTATGTGGGGTAGAGAGTTGAACAGAAATGTTGTAAACTCAAATTGCTTGCAATCTACTTGGGGTTCAAGGAGCAAAACAACCCCAGTGACTGTCTCAGGAACACAGAGGACAGAAGGCCTTTAGTGCTGGGTGCTGGGGGGAGGTTTCTCAGAGGAGTGAGGTTGGGAGCCTGCCTTGAAGGACTAGTTGGATGTGGGTGAGTGCAGGAGAAGGTAAAGGGATTTTGGCAGTAGGGTCTGATGTCTGAGGAACAGTGTACGTAGGAGACTATGCTGAGGGATGTGGCTTCATTGGAACAGATAGAATGAGGGGAAAGTGAGAGAAATAGGGCTGGGAAGGAGAGGGTGCTTTTAAGCTCCTGCATTATGTTTATAACCAGGAAGTCACCAACAGCACCCTCTTTGGGGTCTCTTCACCAGTGTTGCAGGAGATTGGAAGACAGTTGCTGTGTTAGGACAGCAAAGCAGTTCAGTTACCTGGCCTCTGAAGTCCCTGCTTGGGAACTACCACAGCTACGGTGGGAGGGTGGATGCTCTGTAAACGCTTGGGTTTAACGTGCAGAGAAAGCACTTGATACGGGACAAAATAAAGGAGAAAGGGGACTGGTCCTTCCACCAGGAATAATGAATTTTCAGCTCCCTCTCTCACCGTAGGCACCACTAGCAGGATGACCTTTTTATTTATCATTTGGTCATCAAGGAGCACCCTCTGGGGCTTCAGTGGTGGCTAAGACCCAGGCCCTGCTCATAGCAACTTAAGGTTCAGTTGTGGGGACAGCTGGGAAACAAGGACAGACAGTAGAGAGGGATGGGCTATGGCAAGAACACCTATAGAATGTGCCAGAAGCACATGGTGGGGAGCCCTTGACCAGCTGGACTCTAAGAGATGGAGCATGAGAAACCTGAGTGTGGTCAAGGGGCAGCTTGAACCGAGGGAACAGTGGGTTCAGAGGGCAGAGGCTGGGGAAGCAGGTACATCCCTATGATGAAGTTCAGAATAGCTGGAGAGGGTGAGAGAAAGAGGGAAGGAGGCACACCTGCTCCTTAGGGCCCTAAAAACTATGCCGAGAAGAAACCTGACCAAGATCACACAGCTGTGAAGAAGGCTTGTATAGACTTGGACTAAAACTCCTGATGAAAAGCCTGACGCCCACCTCATTAGATGACAGTTACCTTCTTCTGAGGGCAGGAGCTTGCTTTGTGTGTTCCAGAACCTTCTGAAGACCAGCAGCATGGGCATCCACCCCATGCTTGTTCGAAGTGCAGAATGGCAGGCCCAATCCTAGACACACAGTCAGAATCTGCATTTTAACAAGAGCCGCACGTTGGAACCATGTGGAAGTCTTAAAACTATCGATATACTTGGTCCCGCCTCAGAGATTCTGACTTTAGTCCTATGGTGTGGCCTGGCCTCAGGATTTTTGAGAGCATTGCTGATGCTATTATGCAGCCAATGTGAGATCTGGATCTCACAATGTGGTCTCTGGATCACTTAGCAGAGTGTCTAAGGCCATGGGCATGACAGCGACTGATGACAGGGGGAGGGGAAAGACATCTGAGGGAGGCATGACAGCGCCCATGACAGTCCCCCCTTACTGACGACAGGGGGAGGGGAAAGACATCTGAGGGAGGCGCTGGAGGGTGTGCAAAGACAGCCAGTCAGATTCATGCTGTTTCCATAATAAGGTGTGCAGGACAATCTTACCAGGCCTCCCCCCTGCCCTCGACCTTTGTTATTCCTCAGTAGGCAATCTTTGGTTCTGAGTCAGTTCTTAACCCTTGGGAGGTCTTTGTCTGAACTGGTGCCAGCCATTCCTGATTTTCTTTTCTTTCTTTCTTTCTTCCTTCTCTACAATTTCTAGGTTGGTGAATTGTCATGTCACCGTCAGCCTTTGGCAGAGTCTCTTCTCGGTCCTGAGCACTAACTCACTGAACCTCACTGAACTGAACCTCAGTGACAATGCTCTGGGGGACCCAGGGATAAAGGTGTTATGTGAAATGCTCCAGCATCCTGGCTGTAATATTCGGAGACTGTGGTAAGAACCTGTGTGCGTGCGTGCGTGTGTGTGTGTGTGTGTGTGTGTTTGTATCTGTGAGTGACATGGAGGACTGGAGGAAGACCTCAGGGTCCAGATCAGTGGTTTATTAGTTTTCTAGGGCTGCTATAACAAAGAACCAGAGACCAAGACGCTTAAACAACAGAAATTCATATTCTCATAGTCCTGGAGGCTGGAAGTCCAAGACGAAGGTGTCAGCAGGGTTGGTTTCTCCTGAGGCCTCTCTTATTGGCTTCCAGATGGTGGTCTTCTCCCTGTATCTTCACATGGTCTCTGTGTTCATGTCTGATCTCCTCAAGGACACCAGTTGGGTTGGATTGGGGCCTGTCCTCATTTAACTCTTTAAAAGCTGATCTCCAAATATCGTCACAATTCTGAAATTCTAGGGATTAAGACTTCAACATATGATTTTTTTGGAGGGGTGGACACAGTTCAGCCCATAACAAGTGGGAAGGTAGAATGGATTGGAGGCCAGTTGTTTGGGAAGTTTCAAATGGGGAAGAATGAAGGGGAACTGAAAGTAAGCCATTTGTTGGTGTTAATGACAAAAAGTGCATGACCTTCAATATCTTCCCTTTCCTCACTGGCCATCATCATAGATGAGAATTGGAGAGTTTCATCAGATACAATGGCTACTTGGGCTGGACCCCATCAAAACATTTTGTATAGTTTGAAATGTCACAGGGAATCTCTTTCAGCTTTCTTAATAAAGAGTGCTTGCTCTGGGCTCACACTGTGAATCAGACTCACATTCCCCAGTTGGAGATACGGGTTCTGGGCCAACCCACAAACCCTCTTCCATCACACATCTGCATTTGTGATGAGCTACACAGCCAGCGCTAAAGCCCATCACTCCAGGGTATTTTCATACATCCCTTTCTTGATCACCATACCCACTGCAACACCAACCTTGTCAGTTATCTCCTGTACAAACCAGTAGCTCAGGCCCAGCAACCATGACTGTTTGCCAGGATATTGCAATGGCCCTCAAGACCATCAGCTTCATGGGGCAGGATTTGTGTTCATCTTTCCACTGTCTCTACAATGTCTGGACAAGTGTCCTAGCACACATTAATGCTTAAAAATACATACTGAATGAATACTGACTGTTTGGTCTCACCACGTCCACTTTTACCACTTATAAATTTATTTCCCATACAGAAGTCAGAGGGTTATTTAGAAAATTCTACTTTGATTATGCCATTCCCTGGCTTAAATGTTTTCTCTTTGTTCTTTTGATAAATTACAAATCCTCTTCTTGCCTTCAAGGCTCTGGCTGGTTTTGGCTCTTCACCTGCCTCTCTGTCTCCATCCCATGCCAGTCTCCCCACCACCCTGGTAGGTGCCCCTGTGTGATTCCAGAGAGTGAGACACAAACAGGGAGACATGGGTGATGATGAGATATTTTGCAGGTAAACAGAGGTTTAGTCATGCATTTACCTCTAGTCGGTGTGAAGATAGGGGTAGAAAGGAAGATTTTTTAACAGGCGCCAGGACGATGAACTATTCAACTGGAAAGGAGAATGTTGTTCTTGTTCCTCTGACAGGGACATCTACTAGTTGTTGTTGGTGGTGGTGATGGTGATAATGGTGTGTGTGTGTGTGTGTGTGTGTGTGTGTGGTTGTAAATCAAATCAAGAATTAAAGCTTCCTGCTATTTCAGTGTAGGTGGAGGGCTGGGATTTAATCACTAAACAGAAGGATGGGGACAAGATTGACAAAGATAAGTAGATGGGTAAAGCCCCAGAGAGAACAGTGTCCACCTGAGGATTTTCACAGTGAGGAACATGTGATACAGAGGTGGAACACACAGGTTCACCACCGTGTTCCTTTATAAAACAGGGACATGCAGTATACACCGGAGAGCTGACCATTATTTATGGAGGGGGTTCACTGATGCACTCAGCAGTTGTGGTCTCAGGCTGTAGCTCGTGAGCCTGGGAGGTAACTTCACAATGTCTTGAGCTGCATATAGGAGTTCTGATAAGATCACACTTTCACCTAACTTTCCTTAAAGTTTTCCCTTTGTAACATGAGACCACAAATGCCCCCGTTTGGTGCTGAAAACAAGCATAAACCAGAAGGCAGTGACAGAAGCAGCCTGTGTTCTGACGCTTTCTGCTTCTGTACTTGGCATGAAGGTTGCGGCAGTGTTGCCTTTCCTATCAGTGCTGCTTCAACATCTCCTCGGTCCTGAGCAGCAACCAGAAGCTGGTGGAATTGGACCTGAGCCACAACACCCTGGGAGACTTTGGAATTAGACTTCTTTGTGTGGGGCTGAGACATCTATTCTGCAATCTGAAGAAGCTTTGGTGAGTCTGAGCTATTTTCCTTCTCAAAGAATGAGCTGGGGCTTCAATGATCCATGATGGCCTTCACTGCTCAGAAGATTTCCGGGTGTTCATCAATAATTCAATGAGTTACTGTTTGTTGTGGGAAGAGCCACAAACTAAGCCTTAGAAAGGAACTTAATCAAATTAATCATGATCACTTTTAAGGTGTTTACAGTCTAGCTGAGAAAATACAACCAGTGAAATGCATTGCTCCAGAACGGTTTTGGGACTTTATGACAAACTCTTGGTCTCCACACCAAACAGGAAAAGAGGTGCTAACACGATGCAGACACTTGATATTTTATGCAGCCCTTCACTAAATGCTTCTGGGAGACTTGAATTTTGAATAAGAGAAAACATGGTGGGATTGGTTAGCCCGGTGATGGGTATTAAGGAGGGCATGTACTGCATGGAGCACTGGGTGTTATATGAAAACAATGGATCGTGGATCACTACATCAAAAACTAATGATGTAATGTATGGTGACTAGCATAACATAATAAAATTAAAAAAAGAGGAAACACTTGAAAATGGTAGGACCAATTCACACCCATTAGGATGGTTATTATAAAAAAACAAAACAACAAAACACAAGGGTGGGTGAGGAGAAATCGGAACCATCATAATTGCTGGTGGGAATGTAAAATGGTATAACTGGTGCGGAAAACAGTACGTCAGTTCCTCAAAAAAGTGAATGTAGAATTACTGTATGAACCAGCAATTTCGCTTCTGGGTATATATAAAAAACAGTGCAATGAGGTATCCAAACATGTATTTGTACACCTGTGTCCACAGCAGCATTATTCACAATAGCCAGAAAGTAGAAACAACTCAAATACCCATGGATGAATGAATGGATTAAAAATGTGGTAGGGGGCTGGGGTTGGGGTTGGGGGAATGTGGAATGTACATGCATACAGCCTTCGGGGGAATTCGGACACATGCTGCAACATGGATGAATCTTGAAGACGTTATACTAATTACAATAAGCCATACGCAAAAGGGCAGATATGTATGATTCCACTTACAGGAATGACCTAAAATAGTCAAATTCATAGAGACAAGAAATAGAATAGTGGGTCCCAGGGGCTGGGGGAGGGAGGAGTGGGGAGTTAGTGTCCAGTGGGTACCGAGTTTCAGTTTGGAAAGATGAAAAACTTCTGGCAGTGGATGGTGGTCACAGCTACACAACAATGAGAAGGTACTTAAATGCTACTGAATTGTATACTTAAAAAGTATTACAGTGGTACATGTTATGTTATGTATATCTTACCACAATAAAAACAGGTGTAGGGAGCTGAAAAGATGGAGTATTGGCGTGGGCTTGGAAGGTGTTTACCTGCTATAACACCAAGCAAAAGGAAATGAACAGTTAATGTACGGGTTGGACACTTTTCCCGTGAGTGGACTGGACGGGGGGCAGCATCAGAGCAGGTGCTTCCGTGACTCACAGACGGTGAGGCGAGAAAGTGTATGACATTGTGCCGTCTCTGTGGAAGGTTGGTCGGTTGCTGTCTCACCTCAGCATGTTGTGAGGACCTTGCATCCGTCCTGAGCACCAGCCAGTCCCTGACCAGACTCTACTTGGGGGAAAATGCCCTGGGAGACGCAGGAGTTGGAATTTTATGTGAAAAAGCAAAGCATCCACAATGTAAGCTGCAGAAACTGGGGTAAGTCTTTGTTGGTGTCTCAGTAGAAAAGCACCTTCTCTTCAGGGATGTGTTGCTTGGGAAACATGGATGCGGGCTGCTCTAAAATAGGTTGATCAGACAGACTTGAGGGTAGAGATTGGAGGAGACAGTATATGAAGTGCTTGGAAGCAGGAGATACTACCTTCTACTAGCAAGGTATTTATGACTACAGAATTAGAGATTCTTAGAGTTGAAAGAAACCCTAGGGACTGTTCAGCTCAATCCCCCACTGAGGGAAACACTTGCTTCTCAGACACTCACATGCATAGTCACTGGTTTCACGTGTGGACATTCCGAGCGCACCAGCCATTGCTGCACAATGTGGCCACTGCATTAGGAGAGAGTTCTTATTTCTACGCAGCACCTTCTTTGGTTTCTGCGTGTTGGTCCTTGTTCTGCTCCCCAGGGCTCTGCTGAAAGGTGTTGATCTCAATTCCCCAGAGACAACACTCACACTCCAGACCTTCTCGTCTCTTGCCTCGACATCTCTAAATTCTCAAGAAGGATGTAGCTTCACGTCTTCACCTACATAGTCATGCTGTCCTAGGGAAGGGCTGTTCTGTTCATGTTCCTGTTTGAAGTACATTGTCCAGACCTGAACCTGATACTCCTAAAGATGTACGGTGGACTGTAACTGTCACGGGGGGGCAGGGGGCTCTGACTTCCTTATGTTTCTGGCCATCACATCAGATCACAAGTTCATATTGGAATTTTGCAGCAAATAATAGTGTGAAATTCTGGCGTGTTTTCTAACATTAACAGCCAAATCTCTGTGGACCCCAACTGGGTGTCTTACAAGTCAATTCAGTTTTGACACTATAAACTCAGAGGTAGAATAGACCCCCAGGTTAAGGGCCTAGTCCTGCACCCTCCCCACACTGGCAATGTCAGATACCAATGCAAGCAATGGGCACAAGTTACTTGTGCTTCTTTCTGACTCAGCTATGAACTGCGGGTTTCCAGAATCCTCTCCTCAGGTTTGAAAACTTGCCCGAACAGCTCACAGAAATCAGGGAAACGCAACTTACATTTACATTTATTATAAAAGATATTATAAAAAATACAAATAAGCAGCCAGATAAAGAGTCATATAGGGTGAGGTCTAGAAGGATCTGGAGCACAGGAGCTTCTGTCCCCATGTAGTTGGGGCATTTCAAACTCCCAGCATATGGATGCATTCACCAACCCAGAAGGTCTCCAAATCTCCTTGTTCAAGAGACTTTATAGAGTTTGATCTCCAGCCTTCCTCCTTTCTCCTTCCTCAAGGTTGGTGGATGGGCTGAAATTTCCACTTTGCCAATCACTTGATCATTCTGGTGACCAGCCCCATCCTAAGGCCATCTATGGGAGCCACCTTCAGTCACCTCATTACTATAAACTCAGGTGTGATCAGAAGGGGCTCCTTTGAATAACAAAAGAGACTGCTCCACTTAGGACATTCCAAGGGTTTTAGAAACTCTGTGCCAGGAACTGGGGACAAAGACTAAACGTATTTCTCATTATGACACAAAAATATCTACTGATAATTATGTGCTTACACATGTATCATGGCTTTTCCATGATCTTTACATGGATGACCTCAGCTGACCTCATAAAAATTATGCCAAGTAGATATCTGTGTCTCCAAAATGAAGCCAAGAGAGCTTAAGACCTTTGCCCAAGGACACCTGGATAGAAGGCAGGGGAACCAATGCAGACACAGCCCAGTGCGACCCCCTGCCTACTGCCTTAACTCCAGGGAAATACTGACTCATGATGTGTTGCTGGTGGGCTTTCTAGGGGGCTTCTACATCCTGCTCTCTCCGACCTGTGTGGGCCTCACATTCAGCTCTGCTAAATTTCATCTTATCTTTCTTCTGACGGACTGTTTGGGCATTTTTGGATTGTGATTCTGTCATTGTTACCTCTACCTACAACAAGCAAACTGTAAATGTCTTCATTCACATTACTGATATAAATACCAACCAGATGAGCACCAAGACAAAATACAGCAGGAAGGGCCTTTAATGAGGAATAATCCATTAATTCATCATTACAACCTACACATGTTCACAACATCCTTCTCCCTGTCCCATCAACCCATCCTCACATATCACCGTATCTCTTTCCTTGAAAAACCCCATCTTCCATGCCTCCATATCCTCTCCTTATTACTCTATCTCAGCAGTTTGGCTTCTACTCCTGGTTTGTTCCACGGACATCTTTTGGCCCCTTTATTTCTGGGCCTCCTCGGGGCTCACTTGTAGGTGTTGACAGTTGTGGTGAGTAAGACAGACCAAGAGTCAGTTTTCACAAACACTCTTACGGGGGCAGCAGACATTGGGTAATAGACAAACCATATACAATACCTGTAGGTGGTATAATAAAAACTGGAGTTGGCAGTGAGGCCTGCTTTCTTGCCCAAGTGTTCAGCAAGCGCCTCTTGAGCGACATGGGATCAGGTACTAACTGAAGTCAAAGTGTGAGCCATGAAGGAGCCAGGGAAAAAGAAATACTCCAGGGAAAGAATAGAAGTGAAGAGGCCCAGAGCATAGACTCTCAGTTGGCCCTCCAGTGATCCTGGTTCTGACTTATACATCCTTCCCAGTCTATTTTAGCTGATGTCTGTTGCCTATAATCCTGCTCATCATCTTCCTGAAACTCTTCTCTCTTATTTTTGGGGCATTGCTCAGTCTTTCCTGCTAATTTTATAGCTTCTGCTTCTCAGTGTCCTACATTGATTTCTCTTCCTGTGGTCTGGGGATTTCACCACTGGTTTTCTTTTTTACTGTTGTTGGTACATTCCCTGGGAACTCTTAACCAACTGAGCCACCCAGGTGCCCCATTCCCTGGGAACTCTTATATGCCCCTTAGCTTCAGAAACAATGTGTATAGAGATGGCTCTGAAAACAGGTCTAAACCCAAGTATAGCTCATTAGCTTTTTTTTAAAAACAGATTTCTATGCCTTAGAGCAGTTTTAGATTCACAGCAGGATTGGGAGGAAGGTACTGAGATGTCCCACATGCCCTCTGCCCCCACACATGCAGAGCCTCCCCCGTTATCAACATCACTGACCAGAGTGAGACATTCATTACAGTTGATGACTGAATGACATACCATAATCACGCAAAGTGCACAGTTTACACTGGAATTCGCTCTTGGTTATGTACATCATATGAGTATCTACTACTATAGTATTACAGAAAGTACTTTCGCTGCCCCCAAATCCTCTGTGCTTGGACTCTTCATCCCTCCCTTTGCTAATCCCTAGCAACTGCTGTTTTCGTTTGTTTGTTTGTTTGTTTGTTTTGTTTTTTAATTGAAGTAGAGTTAACACACGATGTTATATTAATTTTAGGTGTACCACAAAGTGATTTGGCAATTCTTTTTTTTTTTTTAAGATTTTTATTTATTTGCGAGAGAGAGAATGAGAGACAGAGAGCATGAGAGGGAGGAGGGTCAGAGGGAGAAGCAGACCCCCTGCTGAGCAGGGAGCCCAATGTGGGACTCGATCCCGGGACTCCAGGATCATGACCTGAGCCGAAGGCAGTCGCTCAACCAACTGAGCCACCCAGGCGCCCTGATTTGGCAATTCTATACATGATGCTATGCTCACCATAATAAAGTCACCATGCAAAGTTATTACAATTTTATTGACTATATTCTCTATGCTGTATTTTTCATCCCCATAACTAATTTTTTTTTTATAACCAGAAGTTATCCCCTTCACCTGTTTTGCTCACCCTCCCCCAACCTCCCCCATCCTCTGGGAACCACCAGTTTGTTCCTATATTTATGATTCTGTTTCTGTTTTTTGTTGATTTCTTGATTTGTTCTGTTTTTTAGATTCCACATATAAGTGAAATCATATGATATATTAAATAGGATAGTTTTCCTCAATTTCTTTTTCTGTTCCTTCATTATGAGTGTATAGAAATGCAACCAATTTCTGTATATTAATTTTGTATCCTGCAACTTTACTGAATTCATTTATCAGTTCTAATAGGTTTTCTTTTTTTTATTATTGGTGGATTCTTTAGGGTTTTCTATATATAGTATCATGTGATTGGCAAATAATGAAAGTTTTTCTTTTTCCTTACAACTTTGGATTCGGATTCCTTTTTTTTTTTCCTTGTCTGATTGCTGCAGCTAGGACTTCCAGTAATAATTTGAATAAAAGTGGTGAGAGTGGACATTCTTGTCTTATTCCTGGTCTTAGAGGAAAAGTTCTGTTTTCCACAATTGAATATGATGTTAGCTGTGTTTTTCACATATGGCCTTTATTATGTTGAGGTGTATTCCCTCTAAACCCACTTTGTTGGGAGTTTTTATCATGAATTATGTTGTATTTTGTCAAATGATTTTTCTGCATGTATTGAGATGACCATATAGTTTTTGTTCTTTCTCTTGTTAATGTGATGTATCACATTGCTTGGTTTGTAAATATCAAAGCACTTTTGTATCCCTGGATAAATCCTACTTGACCATAATGAATGATTTTTTACTATATTGTTGAATATTTTGTTGAGAATTTTTTCATCTATGTTCATCAGGGATATTGGCCCTGTAGTTCTCTCTCTCTCTCTCTCTTTTTTTTGGTAGTGTCTTTGTCTGGTTTTGGTATCAGAGTAATGCTGACCTCAGGGAATGAATTAGGAAGTTTTCCTTCCTCTTCTTTTGTTTGGAATATTTTGAGAGGAATAGGCAATACTCTTCTTTAAGTGTTTGGTGGAATTCACCTGTGAAGCTATCTGGTCCTGGACTTTTGTTTGTTGGTAATTATTTGAATACTGATAAAATTTCATTAATTGGTCTGTTCAAATTTTCTATTTCTTCCTGATTCAATTTTGGACACTTAAGTTTCTAAGAATTTATCCATCTCTTATAGGTTGTCCAATTTGTTGGCATATAAGTTTTCATAAAATTCTCTTATACTCATTTATACTTCTCTGTTGTCCGTTGTTTTTTCTCCTTCATTTCTGATTTCATTTATCTGAGT